ACACACACACACACACACACACACACACACACACACACACACACACATTCCCTACAGATTATCCTTAATCTGAAACGTTTTCAGATTTGGGTATTTTACATGCACATGTACACTCACACACAAGATAACTTAGGAATGGGATTGAGGAATTTCAACACAACATTTATTTATACTCATACCCTGATAATAAATTTTTGAATACTATTTAGTAATTTTGCACAGCCTATCACCAGTCAGCTGTGGCATTTCCTATTTGTGTCCTATGAGCACTCAGAGCTCCAGACTTGGGAACATTTCAGATTTCAGAATAATAGATTAGGGAATTGGAATTCTAAGTCATGTCTACCATCCCAGAAAGAAGCCTTAGACTTGCCAGGCATCTGTCCTGGTTTCTTTTGCCCCCAGCCCTTCATCTACTTTCCGTCTCTGTGTTTTGGCCTATTCCAGGCTTTTCACTGACACGTGTATAGCAGCATATGAACAGTACTTAAAATGTTCATGTGAGGCATGGCATCTTCTGCCTGGGTTTTAGTGTAAGGTTTGCCTGTGTTGTGGCATGCAGCAGCATTTCGTCTGCTCTGTGTTTGAATGTTAGACTTGCTGTGTGTGCACGCCACGCATTGTTCATCCAGTCATGCAGTAGTTGCTGACATTTGATACTTCCACTGTTTTGTCTTTGGGTGATGCTGTCGCAAACATCCATACAAGTCTCTCTGCTGCCAGAAGGGCTAGGGCATGTGTGAATAGCGGCTGCCATGCTGTCTCTTCCCTACAAGCAGTGTAGGAGGGTTCTAGTTTTTCCATATCCGTGCTAAAATGTGCTGTCTTTCAGAACCATCTTGTTGTCGCCTGTGAATTTTATCTCATTTTTTGTTTTGATATACTTGTTCTGTTGATGCTCTTCCATTGTATATTCATTCTTTAATAGAATTGCCATTTTATTGTTAAGTTGTGTGTTTTGTATAGTCTAGATAAAAATTTCATCAGATCCGTGGTTTGCAGGTATTTCCTCCCACACTGCCTTTTCACTTTCCCATGGCGTCCCTTGGTAGATCTAGAGAGGGTCCGAATTTTGATAAAATTGTGTTTGTTTTGCTTTGTTTGTTTTTTATGTCTTATCTAAAAAGGTATTACCAAATCCAAGATCATGCAAGTATACCCTTCTGTTTCTTTCTGAGATTTTTGTAGTTTTAGCTCTTTGGAGTATTTGATTCATATATAAAGTAATATAAAGGCCCACACTTACTCCTTGATGTGTAGATATCCAAACTCCTGTTTTTAATAGCTAGTTATATTCTCTATATCATTATAACATTCATTTCAAGAATATTATGCTAATTTTCATAAAACACTGCTAAAATTGTTTTCTTTACTGGGACTTGTTATTCTTTTAAATATTTTTGTCAGTACATACTTCAAATATAAAATTAAAAAATAAATTTTTAACAGTCCAGTTAATTTCAGTTTACTAATTGCTACAGCTTTTTCAGTGATGCTTTCCTATTTTAGAATCATAATTTAGACTGGTGCCCTCTCTTTTACCTGTTTTATATAGTTGAGATTGCAAGAAAGTTGGAAAGTAATAGCTTACAGTACAGTGAAGGAACTGCTGTGACCAGCTCAGCTGATGTGATTTCTTGCTGACCCCAGAGACCACCATGCTTTTTCTCTGGAGAGAGATATTTGGGAAAATGGTAAAGGAAAGAAATGTCTGAGCTAACATCCGTACAACTGTAACCCAGTCACAAAGCTTGATTCTGTTAGTAGAAACATAGAAATAGCTTTGTTTTGCAAAATTACTACTCATAATGTTTTATAAGTGCTGTATACTAAAGGCTTACTACCTGTACTTTTATTGGGACATAAACTCATTTAGAGAATGTGGCATTTTTAACGTTGTGCTTTACTTCTTCCAGATGCCCACTCTACACATGGCAGGTCCAACTTCAGAGATGAAAGATCTAGTAAAACGTATGAACGTTTGCAGAAAAAATTAAAGGATCGCCAAGGAACACAGAAAGATAAAATGAGCAGTCCACCACCATCACCTCAGAAATGCCCTTCTCCTATAAGTGAACACAATGGACTCCTGAAAGGGCAGAATGCCAGTGTTATGAACATAGGATTGGCAAGAAACAAGTCGGGACGAGGGAAAGGTTGTACTCAAGTTGATCCAGAAATAGAAGGTAACTCTTGACACAAAAGTCTCTGAAAATTTCATTATTCAAACTGCTAAATTATATCCTCACCTTTGAGCCATCTCATCCTAGACCACATGAATTCATAGCCTAGCACTTCCCAAACTGTGAGAAATGTTTTATAACCTTAATGATTGCTAGGCAGCTGCTTCAGCATTTGGGAAATCTCAATTAAGTAATTTCACATTATCATAAATGTTAATACTTGAGAAGTTTCATTTGATAGGAAAACTGACTAAGCAAGATGCTATTTCTTCTGTTTCTGGTGCTTTGATGAGGCTGTCTTACCTTTTACTAAAGCTTTGTTTTTCCAGCCTCTTTTCATACGAGTACATGATAAGTAGCTCTGTTGTTAACCAGTCTTGTCTGCATGTGCCATAGTTAGAACATGGTATTCTCCTTCCCTTTGCTTCCCCTAACATGTCACTGTCACCATATGAACTCTGAATCATGCTTTTTAATGTGTGTTAGACCCATATCTCTATAGGGTAAATACAAGGTAGGCTAACAGTAGCCTGTCTTTCCTGTGTCTAGAGTGTGAGGTTCATGCCCAGGTACTTTGACTTTAATACTAAGCTTCTCACTGATGCCTATCTTAATTTCCATAGATTTCCTTGATCCTGTTACCTGTTTTAACTTCTAAAGGTAGATCACAGTGCATTTTAAGTTTCATCAAATGTTCCTGTGAGGCAGACTAACATGCCTTTTCATAAGCCTCTTAGTCCTTGAATGTGCTTCTCTAAAGTGATACTCCTGATTCTTAACTATGTTTAATTGTCAAATGATGCAGCTAATCAATGTGACAGCATCTTGGATGCTTCCAGCTTTGGTAGCAATAGCAAAATGATTGTTCCCACCTTCATCTTCCTTAACATTTTCATGCCTCACATTTTAAACAATGCTTTAATGGCTTCATGGTTTATATGTTAACATATACTAAACTGTTCTCCAGTTTTTGAGACTGTATAAATATTCTTTCCTGCACTGATGTCCTGAGAGAATTTGGCTAAAGGGTTGAGTTGTTTTGTTTTGTTTTGATGTCAGTGGTTGCTATGAATTACAATAGATCACGTTTCCCTGGGAGACCATAGTGACTTAGTTCACCCGTTAAAGCCAGGTGTGGTGCTGCATGTCTGTAATCCCAGCATGTGGAGGGCTGAGGCAGGAGAGTCCTAAGTTCCAGGCCATCTTAGACTATACATTGAGATCAAAGGAAGTCCACTTTGTGTGAGAAAAGCCACTGTTCAGGTGGCTGCACCCATGCACACTACCATGCATTCAGCACACACACATGGTATAACTGGTAAAACCTTTAAATAGAAAATGAAGCAGATGAATGGTGAAGGGCTGGCGCCTGTGTATGAGTGAGGATAAACTAGAAAACAGAGGAGAGGAAGAGAACCTTGCATTTGAGTTTATTTCTTTTTTTATTTTTTTAAAGAAAAAGATGAAGAAACTAAAGCATTTGAAGCATTTCTTTCCAACATTGCCAAACCGGTGGTAAGTATCTCATGTATTTTTCTTACTATTTAGTATATTCATGTAGAATTTTGTCATTTTTCATTCAGGCTTTTGTGGTAACTTCACAGAAATAGGAGACCAGTAGTAGCTCATCATGCAGTGAGTGTTCTAACAGAGGCACCCTTCCTCAGGCAAGCATGATTGAGACAAGGGAAGCGTGAGGATTTCCTAGGTCCCTGTGACACTAGGTACAACCAGACAAGTTAGAAAATATGTATGCGAACAGAAAATGCTCACGTAGAGAGATGTGGATACATTGCAAGGAGCTCGTACAGAGGCTGTGCAGAAGATTCAGTGTTCATCTAAGTGAACACCCTCAACCCCAAAAAGCACAGGAAGTTCTCCACCGACAGCTAAAAGAAGTAGAGAAGTGTATGACTGGGGTCACAGGTCCCACTTAAAAATTACACAAACATGATCGCTGTAGCACGAATAGTCACAAAAATTGTAACAAGAAATGCACAAATTGTAATGATAGTTTTACTCAACAAAATAGGAAGAAAGCAGAAATAGGCAAAGGTGCTTTTGACAAAAATTGGGGGAAGGGATGCTAAGAACCAAATTATTTGGGCATCGTAATTATAAATAAATCAATAAAAGTCTTAAATTTTTCTGCTAAGTATTAAAGACATCAACATGTCACAACACTTTCTCTTTCTTCCAGTGCTAAGTGCTGTGACTCTGCTCGATTTTATAAGCAAGCAAACAGGAAGGCCAGTAATTAAGAGTTAACCCCAGCTTTTATGCTAAAGGTGTTAAGAGATACACAGACTAACAAAAAAAAAAAAAAACAAAAAACATCTCTATATCCTCTCCTCCATCATCATGTTTAGCTGCTTGGGATTCCTACCAGTCTTTGGAATTCATTTCTATGAGTCCAACTATCAGTACACTGTTTTAGCACCCCCCTCCCCATTCATTCTCTCTCCCTTATTTATAAAACTTAGGTCATGCTCTATGGTTCCATGGCCTGTTTCTAATTTCTTACTATGTATGCCTTTTGTTCCTTTGTCATATTATTTTTAAGAAACTAATCTACTCATTCACCTACTCACTCATTCATTCAAAAACATTTACTGAGCTGTTTCTGTTTAGTAAGTAAAAAATATGTACAGGCAAGTCTAATATGGAAACAGAGTAATATGAAAAGTAATGTGTTAAATAAAGCAATGAGGAAAATCTTGCTGGGCTTCTGAGGAAGGGACAAGTGCAGACAGCGGGACTGGGAGGCGGGGATAAGGCTGCATGGCAGATTGGTCAAATAGAAACATTGTCAGTATAACAGTGAAGGATACAACAGGAGGACCAGCTCTAGGTAGGGAGAAGCCCCAGGGCTTTCCCAGCCAGGATAACTCCGTTTGACAGTGATAAATATGCCTCGACTTACAAAGCAAAGAACTATTCCTCTTCACCCCAGAATGGATGGTAACATTATATAAGAAAAACACTTCGGATTTTTTTTTTTTTTTTGCTTATTTTTACACAATGACAAATTAAAGTTGTTGGCATTTTTAATATCTTCATCATAAAGGTGTTATGTATTACGTTTTGATTTTGCCTTTGTTTAGAAAGTTGGCTACTCATGTTTCAATTTTTCTGTGAACTCCCAGTTGATAAATTTTTGTACTCTTAACACTCTCATTCTAACTTGTTTTCTCTTCAGAGTGTAGCATGGAGGTGTAATAAATGGAAAAGCAAATTTTTATTTCATAGCAATAGCTAACTAGCTTGCTGACGTCAGTCTCTACTCAGAATACTTTAGGCATACACGTGTTATTTAATTCTCTTAAAAGCTCATGATGTACTATCCCGTTTTTACATACAGGAACTGAAGCAAGCAAAGAAGTAGCAATGAGAGCCAAATTGGAATCTGGGCAGTCTCCAGAGCTCTGTTGAGTACTTCCCAAGGGTTCATTGAAAAGAAAGTTAGGACTTGCAATCTGGCTGTCACATTGTGACAGCATTCCCGTCAACGCAGAGATGCGTTCTGTGCATGATCTCTCCTGTGTTCCCAGGATGATTTCTTAGGTTGTGCAGGAGCTCACGTGTGTACAGTGATGCAAAGGCATCACCTTTAAGAAGGCTTACAGTTGGCTGTCATCCCAAGCCTTCTGGAACTCCTCTTGGATGTTTTTGCTATGATTATGAATGGGTAGTTGAATAAAGAGCAGCATTCTTTTTGGTGTGGTACAGATTAGAAGAGAGTTACCTTCTCAGGTCAGTTCTAAAGCTTATATAGAATGTGCGTGTGAGTGTGTGTGTGTGTGTGTGTATACACACATACACATATATATGTGTTCCCATGTATAATGTATACACACATACACACACACACAGCTGCTTCAGCCTCCTGAGATGCTCTAATACTGAGTAACAGCGTACTTGTGTAATAATGCCATACTTGTATGTAAATGCTGTGCATGGAGGATGCGAAAACCATGACATGTACAATAGAGTACCCCATACCAACCAGACCTCATGTTGTAAACTCTTTGTGAAACCAAAAACGAAAGAAAAGAAAGGCTAGAAAGAAAGAAAAAAGAAAAGGAAGTTAGTGGCTAGTGGCCCTAGTAATATTTGTGTTTGGCTGACATACCAACTAATGCTGATTTTCACAGATAATACTAAAGTGGGCATAGAAAGTGACATTTTAAAACAATCTACCTGGCATTATAAAAGGTAATTTAGTAAAGCGTGAGCCCTGTATCATAACACCAGGAGGGGAGGGCCAATCTCACTGTTTATATTTAATTGTTAGGTGATAAATTTCATGACCTGCAGAGTGCAGAGCAGGCTCTTTTGGTGTTTGTTTGTTTGTTTGTTTTTGGTAGTTTTGTGTGTGGTTTTGCTCTGGTTATTGAGTATCTCAATGTGTTGATTGACTCCATAAATATTTGACCCTGTACAAAATGCTGTTTGCTGTGCTTGCAGCTGGAGATAGACTAGAAAGCAAAGTGTGAGGCCTGTCGTGCAGCTTCCTTTAATAGAACTGTCGTCATGTGCTACATGTGAAATTACTAAGTGTGGGGGCTGGAGAGATGGCTCAGACAAAAAGCGGTTGTTGCCTTTACACAGGATAGGGGTTCGATTCCCAGCATCCAAATGGCAGTCCATAAATATATATGTGTGTGTGTGTGTGTGTGTGTGTGTGTGTGTGTGTACATACATACATACATATATATAATACTCCAGCCCAGGGATTTAACACTTTCTTCTGGAGTTTGCAGGCACCAAGCACATACGTGTGCAGAGCCATTTATACAGCAAAACACCCATACATGTGAAATAAAAAAATAATTTTAAAACATTTTTAATTATTAAATGTGAACCTTAAGTGTTTAATAGGGGAGCTAAAGCTTGGCAAGGACATGAGGGGAATTTTCTTCCAAAAGGATGTTTGAGCTGAAATTTCAAGGAAAAGTGGCTGTTAGGTGTTATGGGTGGGGCAGAGGGTGTGGGGTGGTGTTACAGCCACAGCAGTGTGTCACTGGGCAGGACACATTGGAGGATCATAATTGCAGCATACAGGTAGGCACACATAAATACAAAGATGCTCACTTGTGTAACTCAGCGGCACACTTACAGGAAAAGTCAGTACGTATCTTACTTGAGGGTGAGCTGTGCGTTCAGAGTTGAGTGGACTGGAATGCCGCTAAGCCTTTCTGAAGCCATTTCTTAAGATAGAGTAGAAGGCTCCTGTGTCCTCCTGTATGTCCTCCTGGTCATGCTATCATGGTTTTGTCTTTTTATCTGAGGTTTTGAAATTACCCTTGAATTTCAGTCATTCCTGGAACTAAACACGTTTGCCATTTGCTCATTATTTTCTTTCAGAATCGTCTCCATTCTCTGTGTTTATGAATTCTACCAACTGTCTACCTCCAGATTTCTTGAACCAGGCTGTCAAGTTCCTTTCTCACTCTGTGTGCTGTGCATTTGTTTTCTGAGACAGGGTCCTGCTGTGTGATCCAGGCTGTCCTCCAGCTTCCTGTCCTCCTTCCCTGAGCTGCTGCATCCTGGGATTGCTGGTGCATTAAAGACTTGCTCCTCTGTTTTCTTACTCACACATCCATAATAGGGTTGAGTGTTGCTGTTTCTTTGGAAATCAAAAAATACTGTCACTTCCATCTCTACAGTCTTTGTCACTGGCATTGCTGTCATTCTGAGTTCCTTTCAAAGGTAGCTTCCTGTTTGGTTTTCCTGTGTTAGACACCGGCAAGCACCTGCCTTACAGGTTCCCGCATACTGTAACAATCCAGCAGCTTCTGTGTCTTCATTGGTTGCCTGTTCTTTTTGACCATTGTCACTTTCATGCTTATTCTTTCACAGATGTGTCACTTCTTCGCTACACTCAGAGTTGGATTCAGTTCTGGATTACTCAAAGACTGTTCACGGGTTGGGCATCCACGGTTCACTTAACCCTTCTAAATTTTCTTCTCATAAAAAGGCAGGTGTGCCTGTTCTGTGTGCTTTACAATGCAGTAATAAGCGTTTGCATATTTTCTTTAAAGGAGCATGCAAGAGGAAATAATTCCAGCTGGTTTCTAAGTCAGCTGTAAAGACATCCTAGGGAATACCCAACTGGGATGCTTTGTCAGCAGTGATTTAAAAAATACATATTATTTTCGAAACTTTTTTTCCTTATTTGTCTAAAATGAAGAGGGAATTGAATGAGACTCCCCTCTTGACCTAGGGTTGATTTTATTTAACTCTTGGATTAAAAGTGTGTGCTAGGGCTGACCCATACCACAAAGACTTGTTTACAGTAAACAGAAAGCTTTTGGGTTAAACGTGTGGGTGTGTATGTTAGTGTGTTAGGGCTGAGCTACACCAAACAATAAACAGGTTTACAGTTCACAATCTTGGGGTTCACAGTGTGTGTGTGGGGGATCAGATATCCTGCAGCACAGCTTAGCTTCTCCTTTAGGTAAATATTGTTTATGTAACAGTATTTACTAGTGTTAATTTCTTAGTTTTGAAGAATTTTAGAAGCACATGGCTGTGTAACATCTTAAGCTTAGGAGAATCCAGTGAAAGAAGCAGGAAAGAATTCTGTGTACTATCTTCTCAACTTTCTGTAAAATTCATTTTATTCCATGATAAAAGTAAACTCCTTAGGTGCTGAGAATTCAGTATCAGCCAAGCAAGCTTAAGTCTCACAGTTCTCTACTTAACACTTTCCTACCACCTGTCCCAGTTAAATAAAGCAAGTCACCACCAGGCCTGACAGATGTACTTCATGAAGCAGATGCTAGTGAATGCAGCTGAGTAACCTTCTGAGTCCTGTTGACACTGTCAGTGTGAGGTCAAGACACAAGGATATACATTCATGTTATAGTAAACGTGTGTTTATATTGAAAACAAAAGCCTGTCCCACCTACCAGCTAGATAGGTACTGTTTAATGTAGAGTCATTTTAAGTCCTTTGAAGAATTCATGACAACATTTATCAGTAAGTAAACTTTTATGTTCCCCTGACTTAACAAAAACAGAAAATAGACAATTTTAAAATTATTTAGGTTTTAAGAACTTTGAAAGAGAAAGTTATGTTCACTTTGAACTTGATTGTCTGGCCCTGTTCAAGATCAGGGGTAACCCTTATCTTGGGTGTTTGTGATGTGCTTCAGTTTTACATTTGGAAACACTAGTTACTGCTGTTCTTGGTGGCGCACACTTTTAATCCCAGCATTTAGAGCACTCACAGAGGTAGAGGCAGGCAGATTTCCAGGCCAGCCTGGTCTACAGAGCGAGTCCAGGACAGCCAAGGCTACACAGAGAAACCCTGTTTGAAGAAAGCAACCAAACAAACAAAAACATTATCTTTTAAATTGTATTTGTTTTGTGTGTGCCTGAGCACACATGCCATGATTCTCATGTGGAAGTTAGAGGACACTTTGTGGAGTCAACCCTCTCCTTCCACCTGTATGTAGGTTCTGGGAACCAAACTTGGTCACAAAGCTTGCATAGCTTTGTGCAAGCTTTACCCTTGTAGCCATCTTGCCAGTCCACTTTCTGTGCTAATCTTTATACCATGTCTAGTCCCTTACTTTTTCTCTTTATTAAGAGAAACATATACTCAGGACTATTTCAGTAAGATCAAATATGTATAAAACAATTAAAATCTTGTTTTTTTTCCTCTTAAAACTCTGCTTGTATCCCTCCACATAAAGATCCCAAAAGTCAACATAAATTTGCTTGTACAGCACATTTCAGGCCTCTTTGAGTACTTAAATTAACAGACTGCACTGTAACTACTACCCACCTTGCCTTTCTTCTCTGCTCTTAGCCATCACCAGTATATTGATGAAACCTTTGTCAGCACATACGTGTTACCTCTTAAACACCGAAATAGGAGTGTTGTAAGAGGCTGCACCAGTGATAGAGGTCAGCACTCGTTTTTACAGCTCTTTGCCATCAGTTATGCTGCAGTGAACATCTTGAAGAGTGTGTAGTTGTGTACTTTGGCAGTGTGTGGGATACTGTCCTGAGGGAGAAAAAAAAATTAAAAAGTGAAATTCTTTTTTCCAAAAGTAAAGATAGCCTGGTGTGGTAGTGTACAAGTTTGTGATCCCAGGAGTTCAGGAAGCTGAGGCAGGAGAATTCAAGTTCTGGTTTAGCCTGGCCTATATTGGGAGACATGACCGGGGGGGGGGGGGGGGGCGTTAAAAACAAGCAAACAAAAAAGGTAGCCATGTTTTTCTCAAATGGCCCTGAGCAGGGCCTCTAACAGCACACCTCCCTCGTCTCAATCTAGATAGATGCCCATTCCCTGGACCCTCAACATACTAATCCTTAGCTTTTTAATGTTCTTATGCTGATAGTTGAGGCAGGGTCTTGCTTGTAACAGCTGCCTTTGTGATAGTGTGCACACCAGCACTCTCTAATACATGGTACACTTATGTTTGTTTCATTGTCCTCATAATTCATCTGTCTCCTTCATGTTACACACTTGGTAAATAGAGAAATGAACTGTCAAATAAGTTTGAAATTTTCTCTCACCTTTTTATTTTGGCACTGTACAGTCTTGAATGGGCCACATCAGTCTATATTTTGTCTGTCTTTTCTCTTCACATCTGTACATGGAGTGACCTGCCGGGAGCTGTTTTCTGAAGGTTTGGACTACTGCTGCTTTGAATGTATTTCTGAGTTCAGAGTCCTCTACTAACCATACCCACTCATTTGCTTCAGAGCACTTTCACCTGTTGGCATTTTCTTTTCTAGGCTTCAGACATTCAGGCAAGGACAGTTCTGCTTACCTGGTCACCTCCTTCCAGCTTCATTAATGGCGAAGTGAACGAAGCAGCTGTACCAGAGCTCTGCACTTACGAAGTCCTTTTGTCGAGCACTGGGAAGGAAGGGAAATACAGAAGCGTTTACGTGTAGGTATTTTCTGCTCCTGCTCTTCCATTACATGGGTTAATGGTTTGAAATAAAGGGAATATTGCTAATTGTGTACTTTTTCTCCTTCCCCAGAGGAGAAGAAACAAGCATCACTTTAAAAGATCTGAAACCAGCCACAGATTACCATGCAAAGTAAGGAGTGTGTTCCCTTGCTTCCATGTGATAGACACAGCAGAGGGCTAGGCTCTTTGCTTGTGATGTCGTCATTAGTGTTTTCCATTAAATTCTAGAATATATTTTAAGCAGTGGGCTTTAATTTTTCTACAACATCATTGTAATTTTTCAGAATAATCCACATTTATACATTTTACTCAAGTTTAAATATTACAGTAAAGGAAAAGCCTAATTTCCCTGTCTATAAGAAGAAGGGTTAGAAGGACTCTCTAGACGATGTCTGTAGTATGTGCTTTAGCACAGCAAACTTGCCCTGGCTTCTGAGGCATCATACACAGGATCATAAACAATATTTTCGTGTATATTAGTCTGCATCATGTTTTGGAAGGAGCTCTCAGACTTGCACAGCACTTAATAGGAGCAATTCAGATAATGCCTTATAGTTGTCCAATATATGTCATTAAGTTTTTACTTCCCAGCAGGGTCCTAATACTTCCCTGTTTTTTAAAAGAACATTTATGTTAGGAATATTCTTATTACACATGAACAATTTAAGTAAGTTCTGTACTTCTGTTCAAAGAATTGTCCAACCTAATCTGTTTCACAATGGATTGACACCATTGTTGAATCATGATTCGTGTGGGTTATATTCATTTTTCTTTTAATCAGTGAGATAGAATCAAGTAAAATAGAAAGTGTCATCTTATTAAGAATATTGTTTTAGGAAGTATGTGTGTCTGTGCATATGTGTGTGTGCATGTATTCACAGAGACATGTTATGTCACAATTTTGAAATATCATTCTTACTTTGAGTTGCAGTAAAATAATACCACTGCTTTATACTGTGCTTAAGGGATAGTTTTTACTTCTAGATAACACATTTTCTTGAATATTTGAAAGGTACCTTACTACTTGTGTATACTTAAAGCTGATATTGTTAAAAGTAAAAACAGGTAAAACTGTTTTATCCCACAGAGTGCAGGCAGAGTCCAATTCGATAAGGGGAATTCCTTCAGAAGCTGAAAGCTTTACCACCTTGAGCTGTGAGCCTGATACACCCAATTCTCCCAGGATAGCCAACAGGACCAAAAACTCGCTCACTTTGCAGTGGAAGGTGAGGATAACCTGCAAAGCGTTTCTAAACAGATAGGTCTTCTATTTTCCTCTTTCCTCCTTGTGTTGAGTGTCAACTGTTTTTGGAGACCAAGAGTGTTAAGTTAAATAACTTGCTCCTTTCGTTGTATAATAAAGTAGGTGTTTGCTTCTTATGCCATCAGATACCTCACTTTCTGTTGCTGTGTTTATCACTGACTAAATCCAGCTTGCAGGAGAAAAGGATTTATTTCATTATTCTACACTAGAAGTCAGTGAGGACAAGCCTACTTACTTACTGGCTTGCCCATAGGCCCACCTGCCTAGGGACAGTATCACCACAGGGGCAAGCAGTCAAGAAAATACCTCAGGGATGTGTCCACAAGCTAATCTGATGGAGGTGTTCTTACACATTGATTCTCAGATAACCTGGACTCTACTAGGTAAACAGCCTAAGCTGACTAGGGGATGCACCCTCCCATACTGAGGGTTTGAGGGTTTATGGTACAGTCTTCTATGTGTAGGCAAACATTACAACTGACTTTCATCCCTAGTACCCTCCCACTTTTTGAAAACTTGTTATCCTCCTGTTTCAGTTGCCGTAGTGGCTAGAATTACTTTGAAGACCTTATTTCCTCTTTTGTGTAATTCAAGTAAAGGTACAACATAAAAATTATGTGATAATTCAATGATGGTATGGTATGGTAAAATGCTTTACAATAATTATTATAATAGTTTTCCCAACTTGGAGGAAAATTGGAAGGCGGGCCTCAGGTTATTGAAGTAGACATATCTTCACCCCTGACCCTTCCCCCCCAAAAAAAAATGCTTTAAGGAAAAGTAAAGATAAGGCTTTAGCACTAGACTAAAGCAATCTAGAATCAGGAACACTTGGGAGATAAATTTTTACCTTTTCCCTATTCGCAGTCTGTCTTTGAAGTCTTTCCTTCTGTTACGGAAAAGTTGTGATTTCCAAGAATTTTCTTTCCCTTCTTCTCATAATATTTATTTTAAACTGCTGATTTACTTTAAACTGCTGTTACTATGTCAATCAGTTATTACTCTAACTCAAAATATTTAAAAATGTTTAAATGTAAGATGTTAGTCTCAAAGTCGAGTTTCTTCAGATACAAAATTGTAAGTCATGCCCATTTGTTCTACAAAACAGAAGTTGGTTGAAATTGTAGGAGGAAACTGTTAGAAAGATAGGAATTCTCATTTCAAGAGTGATTAAAGTTTACAGTGAAATGCCTGTTTTTCCCTAAAAGGGGCTTCTCCCCTAAAGTAGGAGGGATTACTGAGCTACTGAGCAACAGTCTGAGGTAAAGGCACATTGTCTCTAGCAACAGGATCCCAGCAGGGCCCTTTTCTGTCTACTTCCTTCCCACAGCCTAGCCCTTAGCCTTCTGTTCTTTGGTATATTACAAAATAGTCCATTAAAAATGGTAAGAACTTAAACCTGATAAAATCTTATAGGCAAAATGAATTTTTTAAAGAATTATGAAAGTTAAAATAGTTCTTGTTAAAGGAGATTATAGAATATTCAGAAAAATGTAGATGGCCTCTTGCTTTCTTTTTTTATTTTTTATGTGTATGAGTGTTTGCCTGCTTGTGTTTATGTGCAATGTATGTGCATGGTGCCCACTAAGGCCAAAAGGGGGCCTTGGATCCCCTGGAACTGGAAATAGGGATGGCATGGGCCACCATGTGGTCTCTGGTGACCAAACCTGTGTCTTCTGTAAGAACACCCATTGTTCTTAACCACGCAGCCCCTCTGGCCATTTTTATTTTTTTATTCATGGCATTTTTATTTTTTTTACAATTTATTTCATTATATATCCCGATTGAAGCCCCCTCCCTCAACTTCTCCCAGTCCCCTTTCCCTTCCTCCTCTCCCTTATCCCTTTCCCCTAGTCCACTGAAAGGATAAGCCCATAGTTTATCAAGTCTCATCAGGGCTGCCTGGATCCAAAGATCATCCTGAGTCAGGTAACCCAGAAGCAAAAAGACATACATGGTATACATTCACTTATAAGTGGATATTAGCTGTATAATAGAGGATAGCCATACAAAGTCTACAGATCTAAAGAAGCTAAACACTAAGGAGGACCTTAAGGAGGATGCTTAAATCTCATTCAGAAGGGCAAACAGGTTAGACACCGGAAGCGGTGGAAGAGAGGGAACAGGATGGGACCCTCTGGCCATTTTTAAAGACTTAAGTCACAGATAATACCTGCGACACAAAGTTAGTTCCTTGTTATTTATGAGGACTAATTCCTTCTCTTTTTTTCTGATTCAGGCACCCAGTGACAATGGTTCTAAAATCCAAAGCTTTATTTTAGAATGGGATGAGGTAAGTACATTGAATCTTTTTTAGTGGTTAAACTTACAGGTCCATCTTCAGACAAAATAATAATGTTATCAGTTTTAATTATATTTCTCTTTAAGAAACAATATTTTATGTGGTGGGTGAGTGGATGGTTGTGTTCTTAGAAAACATAGTTGGTGGCTTGAACCTGGGAGATCAGAGCCTAAAACTGAAGCAGAGTAAAGCCTCACTCAGTAGAGGATTGACTCAGAGCATCAGACAATTTATACTCTGAGGGTTAAGAAGAGTCACCTGTGTCTTCCCTGAGACTGATATTCCAACCAAGTAGCATGCATGGAGATAACTTAGAACCCCTGCACAGATACAGCCCATGGCAGTTCAGTCTCCAAGTGGGTTACATAGTAATCGAAACGGGGACTGCCTCTGAAATGAACTGGTTAGCCTGCTCTTTGATCACCTCCCCTTGAGGGGAGAGCAGCCTTACCAGGCCACAGAGGAAGACAATGCAGCCACTCCTGATGAGACCTGATAGACTAGGATCAGAAGGAAGGAGAGGAGGACCTCCCCTATCCATGGACTTGGGGAGGGACATGCGCGGAGAAAAGGGGAGGGAGGGAGCTACAGGTGGGATACAAAGTGAATAAAGTGTAATTAATAAAAAATTTTAAAAATAATAAAAGTCACCTGATTAAATTACAATCATAAGGACAAGCTGCACATGGCAAACACACGTTTTTCCATAGAGGAATATAAATAACAATAGCCTGTTGCAATGAATAATCTAAAGTGAACTCACTCTTATCCATACACATGGGAGGGGATAAAAGCACCGTCCAAGGACAGCCATGTTTGGGAAGGATAGAGATTACAAGACTCTTGTTTATTTGGAGTTTTCTCACAGGTCTCAGAAGTCACCTCACAGAGCTTCATTCCTGAACCATGTTCCGACACACCATCATAGTGCTCACTTGAGTTGGGGCTATAGCTTTCCTAGCAAGCACAGAGAGGCTCTGGGTTTAGTTAAATCACACACACACACACACACACACACACACACACACACACACACACCATTTTTTACAGTTATCTTGAGAAAGGCATTTTTTTTTTCTCCCTGCCAGCCTTAATAGCAAGACTACTAGTTTCCTATGGCCTTTACAGCAAATCATAAACTTGATGAATTAAAGAAAATCTCACAGTTCTGAAGACCAAAAATATGATACGGTTGTCACTGAGCCAAAATCATTGTGTGAGCATGATTTTGTTCCTTCCAGGGGTTAGAACTGTTTCTTGCCCTGGCCATTTTTCTATGGTCCATGGCCTTGCTGCCATCCCCTTACTCTTTTCTCGTACTCCTGTCTACCTATCCCAGGGGGCTATTTGCGCTTGAATTTTGGCCCATCCAAATAATCAAGGGTAACCTTTCTCAAGACCCTTAATCTAGCCACAATGCTCACCATATAAGGAAACATTCAGAGATTAGGGATTAGGTCCTGGGCATCTTGGACAGCTACAACAAACACAGTGGACTATACAGTTTAGTGCAGTATTTTCTTGTCAATTATCCCATTCTCTTTTATCCTGTTGCTTATACCAAGCAAAGAGAAGGGGCCAGGGAGAGTGGAAATTCTGTTGAAAATGTGGGGATTCAAAAGTATTTATTGAAAGAATAATAAAGCATAACTAAGGTTTTGTTCTGGAGATGCTAAGAGAATTCAGAATAAGATTGCTTTTGACAGACCACAGAAGATAAACGCATCCTCTGGTGACCTGATAAAATGTAAGCAGGGATAGAAAGTTAATTGATTGTTCAGTAATTTTATAACATTACCAAACAAGGCCTTTCTTTTTAGAGTATCAGCTAGCCCAAGATGCCACTCATATTTACTGTATTGTACTGTACCGATTTATATTATTCAAGAAGTTGTAATTAACTCAGTGACTTTAAACTGACTAGAGAGCAAAATCTACCAGTATTCAGAATGTATTATTTTGTGCTAAGACCATGCAGTTGTTTCAGCTAAATGCCCTAACAACTAATGTGACTGTTTAAGCTTAACAGCCAGGTGCAGTCATTCTTCAGAGAAGCAGAATTGGCCCCAGCTGCCCTGGGCTGAGGTACAGGGATGGAAAATAGGTGGGAAAAGAGGAGCTGCCCATTTTATTTCACAGCCAGCATTTCTAAATTTCCAGTTGTCCTGGGTGGTCAGACTTTCCTCTCTGTCATCTAATCGGGCTGTTCCCTCTTCTCGAACTCCTGAGTGCTAAATGTAACTTCTGGAGCAGTCGCTCCTCCAGACCCTTACTCTGAAGACACTTAGCAGTGTGTCTGGGGGAAGACACAAAGCAGTGTCTTTGAAGACAGGTTTAAAAACTGTTCACAAAGAACTTTCCGTGTGTTAAAGAAAAGTGGCCACTTGTCTATCTCAGAGATCAGCCTGATGCCATAGCAACTTGTCCCCCATAAAGATTATAAGGTCCGTATCTTACTATAGCCAGAAATTTAGCATTGGCTGAAACACCTTATTTAATTCGAGGAGTATGCAAGGCCTCTTGGAAAGCTACTTGTGCCCTTGGAATTTTGTACCAGAAGTTAACCACATAGATGTTCAGTGTTTCAGCCTTCTCTTACGGTCCGTGATATGTGTAACAGTGCTGCTACTGTGTATTTTACCAGCTAACAAATAACTGTCAAGGAACGGCTATGAATTTGTCTCTTGTTAGTAGTGCAGTGCATATTACATATAATAACTAGCCATTTCTCCTAGGGGAAAGGAAATGGAGAATTTTGTCAGTGTTACATGGGCTCACAGAAGCAGTTTAAAATTACCAAACTGTCACCGGCAATGGGTTGTAAATTTAGATTATCAGCCAAAAATGACTATGGTATAAGGTAAGACATTTTGTAAAGTCATATATATTTTAGATTATTTAGTCAGTCTACCCATTGAAAAATTTGCTTTATTTTGTTGATATAGTTATGCTATAGCAAAGTCCACAAGAGTGTCTTAGTTACATATGGATGACAGTAAAGATTAAATTTAAAAACTTTTCAGTGTCAAATGTAAGTTAAATCTTTACATGAGTGATATGTAAAGATTTAATTTATATTTCTTTTCTTGTTATTATTTATTTTCTTTGTTTTGTTTTTAAATTGTCAGTATATGGGCTTTCCTGGTTTTGTGTAGAATCTGGTGGGTTCCATATCCTTGGTGCTTGATATAAATAGAAAGTGCCCCCTCCGCTTTTTAATCTTGAAAGGCTGAAATTTCTATTGGTGTTTTGTGTGTGTGTGAGTGTGTGAATGAAATAATAAATCATATTTAGGGTAAAAATCTTTACTGCTACCGGTAAACAAGTGTAGTTGGATTAGTGCGATTCTTATTTAGGGGGTTTATCTGTAACCAATAACCATTAGAAAAAAATATCTGGGCATTTGTTTTCTCTGTTTCTTAAAAGGCCTCTCTGAGGCTCAGACAAGCCTGGGCTTTTTAAGAATCCTATTGAAATTAGTTTTAGTTTGTTTTCTTTTAGAAATTCCTCTGCTTACCTTTATGGGAGTTGGTGGGTTTATACACTGTTTACATCTTGACCACAGAAAGTGGCATTGATGAGAACTGTCTTTTCTGTTCCATGGAGATACCATATGCAGAATAATAGTGTACCATGAAATGGGTTTTACTGTGTTCTCTTTCTTACAGACCACTGTGTATTTTTTTTTTCACTGACTGAATACATTTCACATGTCAAAGCTTAAGGACTCTAAACTTACACATTTGAAAGAATACTAACCTTTTGGTGTCTAGGTTACCTTAAAGATACTTCAAATCCATTCAGCTTTGACTCTCCAGGGCTAGAACTGTAGCTCATTGGTACCTATTACCTTAGCATGTTCAATCAAGGGGTCTTCCTTCGAGCTCCATCACAACAACAACAAAATTAAAATTTTCATTTTAAAGAAATACTGTTAACGGGGGGTGGGGGGGCTCTTTATCAATAGGATGGTTTTTACTCCTCTTTTAAAATGACTTGTTCCAACAGTGCTTTCAGTGAAGAGGTCTTGTACTACACCTCAGGCTGTGCCCCCTCTGTACCCGCAAGTCCTACGCTGACCAAGGCTGGAGTTACGTGGCTGTCCCTACAGTGGACTAAGCCCTCAGGAACACCATCAGATGAAGGGATTTCTTACATTTTAGAGATGGAGGAGGAAACATCAGTAAGTCCTACTCTGTAGTTCAATAAGAGTTAAAGTCATTTTGGTAGTGTTATTTCAATCTAGTAAATGTTACCATAGGAGCTGGCTCCTTTCCCAAATCCCATTAGGCCTTGCTTTGCTATTATCTAAGTGAGATTGGGAGCGAGGCCTCAAGTCTCTTTGTTTTCTTGGCGTATGTAAGAGGCTCGCAGGGTTGTGAATTCTGAAGTCTACACCTGGAAAACACATAGACTACACTTTGCATTTCAGAGCTGGATGTGTACCTTGGTGGTGGAGCATTTACCTAACAGGCAGGTCACTTTTCATGCCTGGCCAGAGAGTCAAACATAGATTGACTTAGGGAAAAATACAGGGGGAATGTTAGCACAGCCTTCAGCCTTATGCACAGAGCAATTCCAAAGTAAGTACTGTGTCACCCTTAATGGTCAGTACTGCTTGCTGACGTACCACAGAAGGCTGAGAGTCTCCTTGGAGACTGTGTAGTGCCTCCTAAGTCTAGTTACCTGCCTCTGCTTCCTGCTAACCGAAAACAGACAGAGCTTTGTTTTATAGTGGCATAGTCTTGTAAATATACTGTAGGTTTTCATATTGTATGTTTAAGTAGTGAATCATACTATATTTTCAATTATATCTCCACTTATAATTTTCAACATGGGAGCTAATACAGCAGTGAAATATTATCACTGGGACTGTAAATATAGCAGTATTGGACCTAAGTGGTACATTATCTCCCAGTACAGTAAACCATTTATTTCTTCATTAAACACAGCCAGGCATTCAGGGCAAAGTAAGCATGCTTATGTGTGCTTAGTTCTTGTGACATCGCTGGGAAACTTGGTTATAGAAATTGCTTCATTGATGGTGAAGCTGCCATTGGTTCCAGCACTTCCTCAGAACAAAGACGTTCACTTGGCTCTTAAATTTACTGAGACTAATTAATGTTACTCTTCTAAAAAGGGTTCTGTAGCATATCTGTTGTGTTCACTCACTCAAGATAGAAGTATCAAGGTGAGAGAGAATTACAGTTACACACAGTCACAGGGGAAGAGTAACTCAGGTCTTTACACACCTATTACTCCTCATATGTCTGCAAACAAGTAGCTAATGAAAACTGTGTTCCCTTCCATGGTTATGGTTTTAAGCCTAAATACGATGGAGAAGATCTTGCTTACACAGTGAAAAATCTGAGACGTAGTACAAAGTATAAATTTAAGGTAAATTTTGAAAGCCCATTAAGAAATGTATTATTGTTTTTACTGTTCTTGTTAAAACCAAGGACAGACTTCCATTGTATAGTCCCTCCAAATCTTTCCTTTGGTTTTAAATCTAAAATAATTCTATCATTTCTAATGAGTTTTTCTGTTTTACTTTTTTACTGTGATATAATACTTCTCAAACTTCATGTATTTATATTCAAAACCAGTTTTAACTTTTTTTTTTTTTTGTGGAACTCTCATCTGGGTGATTTGACTACATATATTAAAATATACATGTGAAAACATACCTGATAAGATTTTTAGCATCATGTAATAGAAAGATTCTTTCTGTACTATCAGTGGTAATTCCTCAAAGGAGGTGATAATCTACCAGTTTCTTAATTGCAAAGTTATTCTTTGCCCTTTTGCTACTAATAAGCGTTTTGTGAGTTCTGTGTCATTTGTAAACATTGTATTCCTTACCAGGGTTTTACACCTGTTTTAATGCCTCTTGGTGATTCTTGCCTCAATCTGTTCTTGCTGTGATTAATAATGCTATGTACTGTTTTACTTGTATAATTCTTCTTTGTGTCACTTGCTTGAGGGAGTGACAGACTGAAAATTCATCTATGGAAACTTCTGGAGTTTATTTTTTCCTCTGATGGCATCGCTCTAGGATATATTTTGGCTCTTGATCAGTGCTTGAATTATTTAATAATCACAATTAATAGAAATAAACATCAAATTATGACAGGATGCTTATTAGTTGGCAAATTAAACATTTATATTTTCCTACCAGAGCTCATTTAATCAAATTATTTCAGATAAATGGTAGAGGATATTATAAATGTTTTCACTATTCAGTAGTGAGTTATTTAGCTTTTATGAGTTTGTATGCTTTCTACTGTTTTTTTCTATTATTGATATTCAGCTTTAATCCATGGTGGTCAGTCAAGATTCAGGATGTTATTTCGGTGTTCTTTTATCTGTTGAAGCTTGTGGCCAGCTTTGAAGAAGGTTCCATTTGGGCTGCTGAGAAGAAACTATATTCTTCTGTGTTTGGGTAGTATGTTGTGCAGTATTTGTTAGGTCCGTTTAATTTATGGTACTATTTAACTCCACACTTCTGTTTGATTTTTATCTGGATGACCTGTCTGTTGACAGGAGTGGGTTATGAAGCCACTCTAAACTGTCTTAGGATCACTGTGTGATGTTATACATAGTAGGGTTTCTTTTATGAAATTGGAGGCCCTTGGGTTTGGTGTACATAGTGGTTAGAATTATATTAGCCTCTTGGTGGGTTTTCCTTTAATGAGTATGTAGTGTCTGTCCCCATGTCTTCTGCTTAGTGTCCCCATGCAATCAGGGGCCTTCTCAGGAAGACAGGCAATACTTCTGCAGAGAGGTGGTCTCAGTGTTTCGTCATTTCACCAGGCTTGTACTTTGCTCCCCGCTTGGTTCGCTGTATTGTTAGGTAGCAAACATTAAGTCTTTGTGGTCTCATCACAGGTCATTGCTTATAACTCAGAAGGTAAAAGCAATCCGAGTGAAGTAGTGGAATTCAGTACCTGCCCGGATAAACCCGGAGTGCCTCAGAAGCCTTCCGTGAAAGGGAAGATACACTCACATGGCTTTAAGATTACTTGGGGTAAGATGTCCGTGCTTTATTTTGTGTTGGGGCAAAATAATTTAAATATGAATTTTTCTTTAAGACCACCCTTACAAAAGTATCACAGTACCTTTTGCTAGAAATTTGCCACATTCATCCCTAAAAGAGGAAAAGAAAACCCATAAGCAACTAGTTCAAAATTCAAGTTTCTGTTTATGGAATGTAGGTGTCCAGGAGGATAAAAGATTGTTATCCAGCCGTGCTCAAACTGTGGCTCTTTAGGGATTGGTAGGTGTTGTAGCAGCCTCCTATGGGGTGAAAGGCCAGACCCACAGGAATTGTTCAGAAGTGATACTGTTAGTGACAGTGTTTTCTCATGAAAAGCCCAAGTTCAGTGATCTTAATCCACCCCATTAGTATGATGATGCAGTGTGATTCCCTGTTAAGGTAGGCTGTTAGTACCAGTTTTCAGTAACATTGTGGTTCTTGGGTAAATTAACTCAGGACAGTCTGATAAGAAATGTGTCTTCCATTGAGGATCATGTGTAGAGAGCTGTGTGGCCACAGAGGCTAGCAGGTTTGATGTTACAAGAACTAGAGAGCCACTGTAAGGGGGCGGACAGGGTCAGCTTTGTGTGAAAGGAAACATTGCTGAACTTGAAGCCATCAGCATCAGTCATTTTAGCTCTCAAGACATGAAGCTAAAAAATAAAAAGTTACTCTTTTAAACATTTGCTGTACATCTGCTTATCCACAAGTTCGGGGGGACAGCAGAGAATGTGCAAACTCAGTCATGCCCTGGAGACATGGTTGAAAAATTAACATATTACAACTCTAAATTTCAAACTCGCTTAGAATTTAAAGTGAATGGAATGTTGTGTAGATAATAATATTATTGTAGAGTCCACTTTATAAATGTGAGAAGATAGGGTATATTAATTGAAAAGTGGTGACAAAAGATGGGTAAATAGTGGTAGGTGCCCTGTTACCCTTTAACAGTCCTGCCTTGGCATTCCGTTTGCTGAGGTTTTTGTAATGCCACTTTTGTTTGTAACAGACCCACCAAAAGACAATGGAGGTGCGCCCATCAATAAGTATGTAGTGGAGATGGCCGAAGGTTCTAACGGTGAGCATAGCTGGTGAAGGGGATGGATCTGTTGTGGTAATGAACCTCTCTTCCGGCATTGAATTGTTTGCTGTTAAAACCGTTTTTGCTGCCCTGTGGATTGTCCTTGATTTGGTGGGGGTGGGGGTGTTTGTAGCAGCTAAGATTGTGCCTGTTGTGATGCACTTCAGGTTGTGACCTCTGGAAATACAGTGGGTCAAATGTCACCCTCTATTATTATACATTTTTTTTCTTACCTGTTTGCAATCCTATTATGTCCAGACCAATTCCTTGGATACTATATATTTAATGTTTTTACTAAAGAGTAGTTTATACCCACATGTACTAGAGGAAAATTAGTCACTAAAAGTTAGTTCCAGTTAAGATTTTATGACATTTAACTTTATGCTTAAGTTACCTGTTCATCAGTTTTGATTTTCATAAAATGGCCAGATTTATTATGTATACAATGTTCTGTCTGCATGGACACCTGCACACCAGAAGAGGGCACTAAATCTCATTATAGATGGTTGTGAGCCACAATGTGGTTGCTGGGAATTGAACTCGGGACCTCTGGAAGAGCAGCCAGTGCCCTTAACCTCTGAGCCATCTCTCCAGCCCAAAGAAAGGTCTTTTAATTATGATGAAATGTGTTATAATACTAATTCTTTATACTCTTTGTTTTAATATTATTACTGGACCAGTAAACACATTGAATATACTTAATTAAAAGCAAATTACCAATTTAAGCCAAAGGTTGTACAGAGATACTTCAATGCAACAGAGCCATGCAGATTTGTCTAAGAGACTACATACGTAAAGAAAATTAAATCACTTCCAGGAAACTCAAGCCAGGCTTAAATTGTTTCTCACAAATTATATCAGCACTTACTTATTGAACCCTAGAATACCTGCCCTGTCCATGATACCAGAGTGTTAAACATTACCCCTTGGCTGATTGTGCACCATTCTGTACTTTCAGGAAACAAGTGGGACATGATCTACAGTGGCGCGACCAGGGAGCATCTCTGTGACCGGCTGAATCCAGGCTGCCACTACCGCTTGCGGGTTTACTGCATTAGTGATGGAGGGCAGAGTGCGGTAATGCTCTTGTGTAGATTTGTTTGTTTTTTAATTTGGACCAAATGGGATTGGGTCAGCATTTCCTGCCCTCTTTGTTGAAATTTTGTACAAATGTGGAAAAGTGATTTGTGTAATCAGAGTGGCTAAAGTTAACTATTACCAGAATATTTTAACAGGATATTTTGCTCATAATATTTATATTTTGCTCATAGTATAGGTTGATACCTAAGTTTAGCAGAATTGAAATAGATATGTCTTGCTGCTCTGTAAATTGTGTCAAAACCATAACCTGTTTGAACACATATATAATATTTGAGTATTTCAGAAAGGCTAGCCATTATTTTATGAGTGTTAAGAAATTTAGTAGCTGGACATTTAATCCCAGCACTCAGGAGGCAGGTGAATTCTTGAGTTCAAGGCCAGCCTGGTCTACAGAGCAAGTTCCGGGACAGCTAGTGCTACCTGGAGAAACCCTATCTCAAAAAAAACAAAAACAAAAGGGACTCAGATCTCAGTGACCAGTAATGTCATCAGTTATACTGATCCTATCCCAATTCTGAGGACAGTTCTAGAGCCTCTGGTTAAATCTGAGTACATGCATCATCTTCAGTTAAGCCTATGGAACCCCAGCATTTTGTGTGGGTTAGTAATTCCAGGAGAGTGTCTTCATCCCACTCTTTGAGCACTTGAAGGTTTCTTCTTTGAGTACGCTTGAGGACAAACAGTAGCAGGAGAGCACTGACCAGAGACTGTTCCTTTCCCCATCTTTAAATCATTTCAGACCACAGACTCATTTTGTGCTCCCCACTCCCTATCAAGATGCTTGCTTCAGTTCCTGTCTCTTGTTTCTCACAGGGCTTGGGGGGAGCATCCTAAAGTATGCCAGGTGCCCTGGCACAGGCACATGCCGCAAGCAACCCCAGTAGCTAAGCTAAGTGTACCAAGATGAGGCAGATTCCCCTACCCACAGCTTTGGTAACATGCAGTGCTCCTCAGCTCACTTGCACCTTCCTGTTCTCCACTCCTGCACAGGAAATATGCTCCAGTCGCCTGCAATATTTTTTTAATGAATTTAACCAAGAATCACTTATCAGAACATTCATAATAATATTTTTCAAATGGAGTTTTACATACTAAAAATACTCTTGCAAAAAAATGGCTTTTAAACTTCCTATCAGAAGTGCAAGTATTGTGAAACAGTTTGAGTCCTGGTCAGCAGGCTTATGGTACAGTGTTCCATTTTATTCATTGAGAAAGCTACCTGGGAGTAAAACCATAACTTGGTACTAGAACACTTTTCTTCTGTGGAGAACTTCCTCAGTTCTCAGAACCACCTAGAAAAAAAGAAAATCTCCCTGCACTTAAGAACAACAAATATTTTTCTAATGCGACATTGAAACAGTCGTGCATAGACTGCTTGTTTGAAAAAGTTTTGAACAAATGCTTTGTGTTTTAAAAGAATTAAATATTTAGTGTGAACCTTAACATACAGCGTAGTAATAGGGCAGTTAATCTTTCAAGTAAAATCAAGGCTGGGGCTTGTAGCTTTCTGTGGTAAGATACTTGCCTGGCATTTGTGAGGCCCTGGTTCAAGCGCTGTCCCATAAGAAAGTAAAGTAGGAGTCAAAGCAATAGGAAATAGAATGGTGCTGTATACTAAAGAAACTTACTGGTTGTAGAATTGTTTTTAGAGTAATAAAATAATTTAGTTTTAAAGACATTTAAAAAACAAAACAAAACACTATATGTTTTAACCTCCAAAAACAATAGGGTAGATATTATGTATAGTGTCTAAACAACCTAAGAGGTTTCTGGATCCCTTTGGACAGCATTTTCTTAGTTGCCTATCATTTTAGATATTTCGTTTTGTTTCCTAATATAGAAAGGGCTTGTTCTTTTCCAGCTTGTTTTTAAAATAGTATAGTATGTGTCTTTTGTCTATAAAAATGTAACGATTTAATAAGGTCTGATTTCTATTCAGAACCTCTTTTAGTAAAGCACAGTTTCATACCATTGGTACAGCCTTATGTTGTACTAATGTCTTTTATGAAAACAATCCAGTTGTTTGGGGCCTTTGTTTAACTTTGCTTCTGCCTTGGCAGGTCTCTGAGTCTTTGCTGGTGCAGACTCCAGCTGTGCCTCCTGGCCCATGCCTCCCTCCCAGGTTGCAGGGTAGACCCAAAGCAAGAGAAGTACAGTTACGATGGGGTAATTTCCATTTTGGTACTGAATTATAATTAAGTTAGAACCAAAGTATTCTTCCAGCTAAAACATCTTAATCTGTCCGCCCTTCCTTAGGACCTCCACTGGTTGACGGTGGGTCACCCATTTCCTGCTATGCAGTGGAAATGAGTCCTGCAGATAAAGATGAGCCCAGAGATGTTTACCAAGGCTCTGAAGTGGAGTGTACAGTGAGCACCCTTCTTCCTGGAAAGACGTACAGCTTCAGACTCCGTGCAGCAAACAAAATGGGGGTGAGGGAACCGCTGGCTGAACCATCACTGGAGCATGTGTCATCGCACCATTTTGTTTTAATAAGCTACTGATAAATAAGAAATAGTGAGCCGGGAACAGTGGTGCACACCTGAAATCACAGCACTCGGAAGGCAGAGGCAGGTGGATCTCTGTGAGTTCGAGGCTAGCCTGGTCTGCAAAGCAAGTACAAGATAGCTAAGGCTACATAGAGGAACCCTGTCTAAAAAAAAACAAAAAAAGAAAAAGGAAGGAAGAGTGTGCCCTATAACTTGCCTTGCTGTCTTTGAGGCCTCAGTTAGAGGTCGTGGCACTTGAAAAAAGTTGTGGTTTCCTTTAGGGAGTGCCTGTGTGCATGGTCTGATTTTATGCAGCATTTACTCCCCATTGTAGACCAGATGTTATTAATGCTTTGCCTCATGGGCAGATGCTGATATTTAAGCATTTCTGGCTTACATGAGTTATTTAAAAACTGTTGTGTATATGTAGACAGTTACATAAAATGAACAAAAAGGTGATAACTCCACTTTGCAGCTAGTGACACTGGGGCTTGAAGAGAGCGCTTCCACATAGCTGCTGATGCCCTCACCTCTGCTAAGGCAGACTTTACTGAGACAGAGCAGTTGCTTAGGTGTGTGGCATATTCTCTAACTATTCTATAATTGATTTTTTCAGAAATTAAACTGACAGATCTCTTTATCTCTTACTTTTTTGAAGATTTCAGTGAGTTGTGCTTTGTTTCCTATCCTATCTATCTCCAGCTAAGCTATATTTTAATCTGTGAGCATGTTTCAATGCTGTGAATAAAAATATGTAGCCTGCAGGCAGGCCTTATTTAAGCCATCCTGTGTGTGTGCTCTTAGCAACCTCACGAGGCTATGGCTCACTGGGAGCATATGCAATACTGTCTTCTTTTTTAGTTACTGGTTTTTGTTAGTTTTTCAAAATGACTTCAGTTCCGTTTCCACTAAATACCCATTTTTGACTCTTAATGCTCCAGATTTTAAGATAAAGTTGATGCCTGTCATTGTCCATGCCTTTATTTTCTACCCATCTTCACTCCTCACATAATTTCTTATTCCACCTACCAAACTTACTCGTGCCCTGCTCTTTTTTACAAAGAGCAGTTCATGAAGAGGATAATGGAGTGGGGAAGAGAAAGTATATAAAAACAAAACTTAAAAGTGCTGAGTCTACTTCCATCGTTGTTAAATCTTTTACTCTGATTGCCTCTAGAATTATGACCAAATTAATTTTGAAGGACTTAATGGCTGGTGAGTCTTTAAATACAGGATTTTTGTGCAGTGAACATTTAAGGATGAAAAAGAAAAAAATATGTGTTCTGCTTGTTTTTCTAGTTTGGACCATTTTCAGAAAAATATGATATCACTACAGCCCCTGGTCCCCCAAACCAGTGCAGGCCCCCGCAAGTGACATGCAGATCTGCAACTTGTGCACAAGTCAGTTGGGAGGTATTGTGATTTCCACCAACTTTTATACTTTTCCTAAGAGATTGAAGTAGTGCATGTAAAAGAAAAAAGGTGAGCTTTTCTTATTGCTACTTCAGTTACACTGTGAAAAGTGAGTCCTAGATACATTCACCTGGTAAAAGTGAGTTAAATGTTTGAGTAAGTTATATTTGCCTTCTAAATAGTTAGATTCTAGTTCATGTTATTTTGTGTTTTATCAGAGGCTTGCTTTCTTTACTGAGATATTTTAGCCACTGGTGAACTTTGAAGAAACACTCACAGTGAATTTTTGCTCAAATTTATTATCATCAGTGTACTTATTGTATATTGTAAATTAGTATTTTCAGTTTCCTTTGAAGTTTAATGATTAAATATATATGTAAGTTAACATTCTGTCTTCAGATTATTTTGAAGTTTCTTTAGCTAGGATACTCTGACTCTTAGGCTTATTTTTCTTTCAGGTATGAGCAGTTATATTTTTGGCTATTCATATAGTTTTAATGAATAAAAATGTAAAGAAGTACATTGTTGGTTGTGTTTAGATGTTTCAAATAAATTCAAAAGTAATTTCATTTTTTTCTTTTTTTTCAATTTCATTTTTAATATGTTAGAAGAAAGAATATTTTGCTTCTACACTGTTTAGTTAATATCAAGCCTAAGAAAACTGTATCCTTTTCTTAAAGATTCCTTTGAGTAATGGAACTGATGTCACTGAGTACCGGCTGGAGTGGGGAGGAGTTGAGGGAAGTATGCAGCTGTGTTACTGTGGGCCCAGCCTCAGTTGTGAATTAAAAGGACTCTTACCAGCTACTACGTATTATTGCAGAGTTCAGGTAGGTGATCAGTGCCTTAGCACACGTACTGTTCAGGCTCTGGTGTGGAGAGGTCACTGTCACAACCAAGTCTTTGTTAACTTCACTTTATTTGTTTGTAGGCTATGAGTGTTGTGGGTGCAGGTCCTTTTAGTGAAGTTGTAGCCTGTGTGACTCCACCATCAGTTCCTGCCATTGTGACCTGTCTTCAAGAAATAAGTGATGATGATATAGAAAATCCCCATTACTCACCTTCTACCTGCCTTGCAATTAGCTGGGAAGAGCCTTATGACCATGGTTCAGAAATCCTTGCCTACAGCATAGACCTGGGAGATAAGCAGCCCTTGACAGTGGGGAAGATGACAAGCTATATCATAGACAATTTGCAACCTGACACAACATACAGGTACACTATAAAATCTGTTAATATTTTTGCCTAAACCCAAAAAAAAAAAAAAAAAAGTAAAAAAAAAACCAAAAAGTAAAACTTTTTTTTTTTTTTTTTTTTTTTTTTGATTTGTCTTTTAGAATACGAATTCAAGCCTTGAATAGCCTGGGAGCTGGTCCTTTCAGCCATACGATTAAATTAAAAACGAAGCCCTTCCCACCTGATCCACCTCGGCTGGAATGTGTTGCCTTTAGCCACCAGAACCTTAAGCTTAAATGGGGAGATGGAACTCCAAAGATATTATCAACAGATGCTATTCAGTACCACCTTCAGATGGAGGATAAGAATGGAAGGTAGGTTCTCTTACTTCCTTTTTCACAAGTAATTTTGGGGGTTAATGTATGTAAATGTTTATAGTGTAAATAGTTTGTCAGAGCAGAGTAAAGACTGTCCCAAGGGGCCAACTAGGTGGCTCAGTGGGTAAAGACTGCCGAGTCTCACAACCTGAGTTTAGTCCCCGAGAGCCTCATGCTGCAAGAAGAGAACCTACTCCTGCAAGCTGTTTAACCTCCACACGTGCTCCATGCACACACACAATTAAAATTCAGTAAAATTACTTGTGAGAACTATCAAGTCTTTATAAGTGTATGCTTACTGAATCTCAGAAGGCTCCCTTTGGCTTTCCTCTTGTAATCCCAGTGGTGCTCAGGGAGGTTAAGTAGGCTACTCCTGAATTCTGCCCTGTGAACCTTGGCTGTGAGGTAATTCTGTAGTATTGATTTCCAGCTGGACACAATTGACAGAAAGTGATTGTGATTTACTCAAGGCTTCCGAGGTCTTCCGACAGCACGGTGATGACTCACACTCCTGATACAAGGGCACACTGAATCAAAATCAACAGCAGTTCAGTCCCGTCCTCACTGATGCGTCCCCCTTGGACGCTGTGATTTGTAGTCCAGCATCGCTGCTGCACTGCCGTCATCCTGTTTGTGCCCCTTTCATGTTTTCTGCACATACTTACTACACACCACACTTCCACAGCCCTGGGAAACCCTGTATTTCAATTATAGTATGTTATTCCAAGTACTCTTAACATTATTTAAACACCAACACAGAACAGTTTATTCACCCTGTATTCCATATAAATATTGCCATGTGCCTTCTATAGCTGCTAATATTCATGTATTTTAAGATCTTATGTATCTTTATATATGAATCTGTATATTTTTGTTTAATATTTTAAGCTTTTGAATTATACTTCTGTACTTTTCACTTAATTACAAATTTTTAAAATACCAGTGACAGTTTTTCCAAGGTTTACATTGGTTTTAATCACTTTTAGGAACAATATTCATGGACTTAGTGTGTGTTTCTTAATGTCTGTGCCTTTATTTATGGCAGAATTATATATGTATCCTTTTTTCCAAAATGTTCTTTGCCATGGATTTGTGGTATAACCAATTTATTTTGAACTGTGCGCAGTGAGGTGTTTACTGTTGTTGGATTATTTGCTCTCAAGATGAAATATGGCTTGCTAGAAATACTAACTTAGTGCTACACTAAAGTCACAGGTTTTAAGAAACCATTTATTCTCAGCATTCATAACTAGTACTAGGTGAATTGATTATTTCAATTTTGCTCTAGTTTATAGCATTTGCTTTTGAGATAATGCAAAAAGGTTTAATCGAAAACATTCTCATTAGTGCCGGGACAAAAGATTAACCTTCTGTTAAATATAAAATATAATACAGATTTTTCATTTACAGTCATTTAGCATCTGAAGAATTTCTGGAATATGAACATGGCTAAGGAAAATTAAAATTAAGTTTTTGATGCTCTGTAAATTTAATATATAAGCTTAATAAATTAAGTCAACATAATATCTTTGATTTCTTTGCCCTTGTTTTTTAGAGATATTTTTAAACTTTAATTTACATGGTATGTTAATTTTTGCCTGCATGTATGTATATGCAGCACATGCATGTCTAGTACCCTCAGAGGTCAGCACATAGCATTGGATGCCCTGGAACTGGAGTTACATTTGCTTATAAGGCACTGTGTTCATGCTGGGAACTGAACTAGGATCCTTTACAAGAGCAGCCAGTGCTCTAACTATTGAGCAAGCCCTCTAGCCCCATTTTGCTCCTTTTTCGTTTTTACAGATACGCACATTTGTTGTATGGTGGCATCAGAATATAGATTTTGTCATTTTCAGCTGTTTTTAACTGTTGTTACCCACCATCCTTACTTTCTTATTTGAAGAAAAAGTATTTCAGAGGTTCATATGGCTGGGCTTATTTAGTTACTGCTTATTGCAAATATATTTATTTCAGGTCATTCACTGCTTTTTATTCGTAACCTGAATTCAGTTTCCAGGCTATTTAGCATTGTCTGAGCAGTCATTGCTCATTCCTCAGTTTCTAAAACTTTTTAAAATTGCCCATTGAAAATATTGAGAAACATTCAATTTATGAGTAATATATTAGGGAAAAGAGTGTAAAATTACAAACATCTACCTAATAGTAGTAGTTCATGTGGATAATTTATTTGAAATTATATAGTCTCTCATAGCACTATCTAAATCTCTAAGAAAGGTCACTAAGCTAGCTAAAATTATGCCGGTGCATTAAGAATTCCCTTTTGTTTTCAGATAAAAATGAGAAATTTAAGTGCAGATTATCATGTAGCTCAAGTCCATGTTGTAAATTGTGACTTGGTTAGAAGTAACTCATAATAAAAAGCAGTGCTGTACGTTGTCCTGATGCCTTTTGTAAACATAAAAGGCAGTAAGCAAAGCCAAAGCTGTACCGGAAGCCTAAGAAGAAACGATGGATGGTTGAACACTGGATACATTCGTGATACATTTTTCTGTCAATAAGTCAGATCTGGAGACCTACATATGTGATTCGTATTACCTGATGAAAAGCATAATTATCGATTACTCCTGAGTTAGGTTTTGGAGCCACTTGTTGTTTCTAAATAAATGCCCAATTATACAGTGGTAATGGATTTTAAAACATTTTTGTATGATAGTTGGTTATTTCCGTTACAGGTTTGTCTCCCTGTACAGAGGACCTTGTCATACGTACAAAGTACAAAGGCTCAGTGAGTCCACATCCTACAAGTTCTGCATTCAAGCCTGTAATGAAGCTGGGGAAGGTCCTCTCTCCCAAGAGTATATTTTCACCACTCCAAAATCTGTCCCGGCTGCCTTGAAAGGTAATTTAGAACCCCGGAAGTTATTTTATTTAATAAAGCCTTTATTTTGATTAAAATGTAGCATCCAGTGTCTCCATCAGTTACATGAAAGCATAGACCAAGCACAGCTTAGGGGTCCACTCATTCATCAAAGCTGTTTTGTTTGTTGCAGGAATACTCAAACAAGTCATTGATCTTTTTAATGATCTGACATGAAATACTAAATAGAATAAGTAAGTTGTGTTTCTAATTAGGTCATTTGCTACTTGTTGTTATTTAAGGAGTAAATATTCCAAGCCCTGGTCATTTAAATGTTTCATTTTGGAATGAGGTCTCCTAAGAAAAACAAAGTTTATTTAGCTTCACACACAAACATGCACTCAGGCACATACACACTGTGCACATATTCCTAATTCTAAAGTAGCTCTTATTTTAAGTTACTCTGGCAGAGATTGTACTTTGTGCCGATGAGATGAAAATCCACTGCACTCTGAGAACTAGTGGCAGAGACTGTGGGGACAGTGTCCTGTGTCAGGCACTGAGTCGTGTATTAAGCAGACCCACAGCTGGCACGACTGTAACTCGCCTGTCCGATGTTGACAACTTTCCCTACACAGTTCGCTTGTTCCCTTATCCAAGTTAGCATCTCAGCTTTATAAGGATTGTTGTTTCTAAAGTTTCTTTATATCCTGTTGCAGAAGTTCACTATTTACATTTATAACTTGTTTTTAGAGATTTGTTGATTTTGATTAAAACAGGTGTCTAAATATAAAGTGCCAAATTAAATAAGAACTGATTTTGTTTGTTTTATCTAGCCCCCAAAATAGAGAAAATAAATGATCACATTTGTGAAATTACATGGGAATATTTACAGCCTATGAAAGGTGACCCAGTTATTTATAATCTTCAAGTTATGGTGGGAAAAGATTCAGAATTCAAACAGGTATGTGTCAAGATACTGTTTTATATGTACATATTTTTATCCTTCATTTTTATTTATTTTCAGTAAAAGATTTGGCTTTATTTCCTTTCTAACTAAAACATTTGTTCAGTGAATATTACATTCCAGCTATTTTGGAATTAAAAATATTTTGTGAATGCACTCCCCTTGGATAGATTATCCATTCATTCAGCACGTATTCATTGAACTCTTTGTCAGCAGTCAGGACACCGCAGTGAAAAGCACCTACCTTGACGGAAGTCAGAGAGGAGTGGAAAGGCACAGCTCAGTATACACTTATGTCAGATACATGGAAGTGCACTGCAGAAAAGAGAGAGCTGAGTCAGAGAACTAGGCAATGCTGTAGTTTCCTTAAGGAAGTGCTGTGAGAACACTGTAACCAAGAAGAGGTCCCAAGGCAGCAGAGTGCTTGTTAAATTTGACCAGCAGTCAAGAGGGCAGTATGAGGCAAAGGGCTCCCCAAGACAAACTTGAAGAAGTCAGGTCGTTTCTTCCCAGTGGTTACTAAGAAATATCGGCCTCATCCTACCCTAGTAGCTGACCTTGTCCGCACACTTACTGTTGAGCTTGCTGAACTCAGGCCTGACAGTTCCTGGTTCCCCTTCAGCACAGCCCCTACAGACTTGGTCTGTCCCACAGTTCTCTTGAGAAGTAAACAGTACGGAAGCCATCTTGATACAGAGGTGATGTGGAAATCCCACTGACATCCTGGGCCATGCAGTAACTTTTACTCCAAGTAAAATGAAAAGCCAGGGAAAGATTTTTTTTATCAGAATAGTTACATAATCAGACACATTTTGATTACATTGTTAAAATCAGAGTAGGACAAAGACAGACTCCAGAAAATCAGAAAGAAGGCTTCAGTAAGAATAATTATTACATAATAATAATAATATTTGGATGAGCATATAACAAGATGAAGTTCTAAGGAAGTCAGTATTTTAAGCTTTCTAGTTAATAATGTAAAGTAGGTGGTCCCTCTGTTATTGCTGTTATTGTCCAGTGCTTGACTATAACAGTTTAACAATGTTATGATATATTGAATATAACAATAGCCCTTCACAATGAAAGGTTAGGGGAAGTGTCACCTTCCTGGCAGGAAAAGTTCCAGGACAGCTTCTGACAGAGAAGGAGTCATGGAGTGTCTAATGATGAGTGTTTCTTGGGAAAATCTGTGACCAAGATGGTCTCTGTGAGAACTGTACTTCATCTGACCTTTTCTTCCTTTTTTTTTTTTTTTTTCTGTCAACCACCTTCAGTTTTGAGTGCTTATAAAGGTTTTATTTTTTTATTGTAACTTAAAGTTTCTTTTCCCATTAGAAAAATACACCGTCTGTCTGCTTTATTCCAGCCTTAGGATATTAATAACAACAGAATTTTAATGCATGTACTTTTATTTAAAATAATATAGAAAGACAGTATCTTAGCTAAAATCACAAAGGGCTTCAAGAGTTAAAGTTGGTATACCATTGTTTTGCTCCACTAAATCATCTGTTAAGTGACATGATAATTAGATTTCAAATGTAATTTACACATGAGCAGATTTCCTTCCAAGGAAATTTCTTAAAGAAAATGTTCCTCCCAGCCTCTGCAAGTCGAACTAAAAATGTGATCGCAGCATCTTCCATCCCAATTTCTTCAGTGTCCAGAGCAGTATTTCTGTGTCCTTTTTCCTACCAGCTCATACCTAGCCCCACAAGAGCTGCATCAGGGCCTCATAGCCCTATTTGACAGTAAGAGCCCAACTCCTTTCCAGTCCCTCACACAGTTTCATGATGAGAATTCCTTAAACACTTTCAATACTATACTACTACAGATTCTTTGAATTAAAAATACCTAAATTTAGGACTGGGCTTTGGTGGCACACACGCCTTTAATCCCAGCACACAGGAAGCAGAAGGCAGATTTCATGCGTTCTAGGGCAGCCAGGGCTTCAGAGAAACCCTCTCTTGAAGGAAAGGGGCAATTAATATATTCTTACTCCTTTTCTCTGCTATACTACTTCTATACCTTCTCACTTGTCACCTTCAGGGCATCTGTTGAGGACTCTTCTTCCCTAGCCATAATATTATACTCGTTTTAAGATAAAATGGGAAAGAAAGTTCAAAGTAAAAAAAAAAAAAAAAAAAAATTAAAAATTTAATCAGTCACTGCACCAAGCATTCTGAGTTCAAGGCCAGCCTGGGCTACAAAGGAAGACCCTGCCTATCTCAAAAAGAAGAAAAAAAAATTTAAAAATGACTTTATTGTACCCATAAGATAAATACATATTTTAACTAAAATGGTTATGTGTATACACACACACACACACACACACACACACACACACATATATATATATACACATACATAGGATTTACATTGAATTCTTCTATAACATTCTATTTTATGTAAGTTATTCTATCATATCTGAGACATGGATCCTTTAACTTGTCAGCATCTACATTTTTACCTGAAGTCAGTAATTTCACTACTTTGTTAGATACATGCAGGATTGTGGAGACAGTATATAAAAATGAGATGAACTCTTACACTGCCTCTTTGGGAGCAAACTAATTTGTTAAACGTTAGATTTACAACACAAGTCAGTTGGGACAAGCAGATCGTGTGATGGAGTGCAAATGCAGATATCTGTAGATGTGCCTTGTAGCCCACCAGCCCTGGAAGAAACCACCCGAAAGAGGCGTGGCATGATGAACCTTGGTTTTCTTGCTGGTAGATTGAGAGGCTCATAGGTGAAAATGATAATGTATCTGAGCGTCCACTGTCAGCTGGGTACTGTGTTAGCACTTTAACAAGCAGCAGTTCATCATAGCCTCATAATTGCCATCTATTTAACTGTCATCGATTGAGCTTCTGAGGGAAGTGCTCACTGAACAGTGACGCCACAGTGCAGGGCTTGAGTCACAAGGTAACCAGCTCTGGTGCAGAGCTTCCTTCCTCAGTGCAACACACCATTGAAAATCCAGGTAGCTCCAGGATTGTTCATTTCTCTTCTAAGTCTTGGCCATAGAGTTAGGTTTTAAGATTGTAGTCCGTGATTCCAAGTGACCAATCTCTAAAGTTGACAAAGTGATTTGCAGTGGATACCCATAGACAATTTTCTTTCTGTTGTTTGATTCGACAGATGCTTAAAACTGTAGAAATTCACTACTTAGGTAGTCTTGGCTCCTCTAATTACAAAGTGAACAAGTTTATACAATCTTCTGTCTCATACAGTGAGTTCACAGAGAACAAAAACAACAAAAAGATGACTTCTTTTTCTCTTTTTTGAGTAAACTAGGGAAGTGCTTGGTAACTGCTTTCTGTATTTGACATTTTGTCACTTTGGAGCTCATCTTTACTCTGTAACTCACTTGTAAACTATGAGGACCCATCTCACATCCTTACTTTTGCAGCACACAGGCAAGTACTTG